CCCCAAAACCCCAAAACCCCAAAACCCCAAAACCCCAAAACCCCTTATTCCAGAATAGGCCCTGAAATTATATAAGTCTTCAAATTCACAAATATAAATACAATTTAATTCCAACATGAAGGCCAGGCTAAATTTTTCGAATAGTCAAAGTAACCAATTAGCAGTCATAGAAGAGGCAGATGAAGCATTTGTTACTGAAGCTGCTAATAATTGACAAATCCAGAGGAAAAATAAGAGCAGTCTGATCCTGAGTCAAGAAGGATCGCTTCCCAAACCTAAAGATACAACGAAGGTCTGACTGACAAAGTATCGTATAAAACTAAATCTAAAGAAAGCCTTATCGAATGAACAGCCGATCTTACACCCTGAGATGAGCAGAACATTTTATGCAAAGAAAGAAGCTCCAGAAAGCATTATCAAAGCTCAGCAGTCTATCTCAAAGAATACAAATTATGCATGGTAAATTTACATCATTAAATGGGATTTAGTAATATTAACTCGATAAATTATGAATCTGACAATCCAATGAAGGGAAACCTGAGAAACACAAAGTGCCCAAAAAGTAAATTAAGAGACTTGGAACCCAGAAATAGCAAGGTGAAAGAGCAAAAGCAGGAACATTGTAGATTTGCAAGCTCCCAAGGGTTCAATTCCCTAAGTTCTGGAGACTCTCAGGTGTATAAAATCCAGTCATCTTCCTTTGTTGATACTAAAGATGTTGATTATTATCAAAACTCAGTTGAAGATGCAAATCGGATTCATACCACTTCATCTATTCCTTCCAATATAATCGCTAAAAGGAGAAGTATAATTGTCTCAAGATCTGAAGTTGGGAAGAAGAGATCTAAAAGAGCATTCGGAGCTTCCAATGGGTTTCAAATCCTAAAACACCTCAATATGAAAGAAGACCTAGTCAAAAATAGTGGCAAACTTCAAAGAGAATTTCTTAAAAATCGAAGAAAATCCGTCAATGGAAATAAGAGCCAAAGTTTAAAAGAATTTGAATTTGAGACAGGTCAACCAAGAAACAAGAGTCTCGCAAGCTTTTCAGTTGAGCGTTCATCCAACCATTTGGGAAATGATTCATCCTTTAAATTAAATAGAAAGAAGGTAATGCTTATTTTGATCAATACCTGTTCCAAAAACTCTTAAATATTTCTAATTTTAGGAAAATCTTACATAAATATAGAAGATCAAGGTCAACACAGCCTATGGAACAAGTTTTGTCTGCAATAGGACCTTTGAAGATAACTCCACCGCGGAGGATGAAGAAGAATCGAGAGATTTCCTCCTAATCAAAAATACTGGTTCCCTCATAAGATTCAGAACAGACTCAACTGGCTTTCCTTGTAACAGGAGGCTGAACAAGTATGACATTTTACTCAAAGGCAAAAGGCAATAAATAAAATGGGTCTTGTTTTAATTAAAGAATTTGTTACCTTAATTCATAATAACGATATCCAAAATATTTCTGTACTCTGGAATGACAACCATCAACTACTCAAAACTCCTTAAGTCATTAAAATCTTTACAAGATTACAATTTATTTTCCATACTGGGTGTTGGACTGAGCTCAGAAATATTTGAACTGGGACCCTGTTTTTCAGATGCTCAGAAATTATGAATTGACTGAAAGAATTATACTTATTAAAATTCTACCATTTATTATAAAATTGGGGTTTTGGGGTTTTGGGGTTTTGGGGTTTTGGGG